TCACAGTGGAGGAGGCGGAGAGGTGAGGGAAATGCTGGGGCTGGGCCCCTCGAGATGGGGTTGGGAAGGTACCAGGGAGGGCAGGAGAAGGGCTCTGCATGGGCACGTCATGCCTGCACTACACAGGTCACATATGCTCAAGCCCAGCTCTGTGCTGAGCTCCTGCTGCTGGCCAAACTTCCCCATCAGCACCTGCAGCCTTGGAGCGGTGCTTTGACTCTCTCCCTTTCCTCCCCAGCCACCCTGGGACCGTGCACTCAGCCAAGAACATTTTGGAGGACATCAGCAACATGTTTGACGACCTGGCCGACCAGCTGGATGCAATGCTGGACTGAGGCTTGCTCCCTCCTTCCCTCCCCGCCTCCGGCTGCTCCACCAGTGCCTCTCGTGATGGGGGAAGAGCGGATCTGGCACCGAGCAGTGCCTGCAGGTCCCTCCAGCCGCCTCCCTCCCCACACTTTGCACTGTGGCTGGGAACAAAGCTGCCCTCCTTGGCCACCCCTGGCTCTGTGTCACATGTGACAGCAAGGCCTTGGGCCGTTTCTGAGGGGGTCATGCATTTCCCACCAGACTGGCTGCAGGAGGAGAGCCCAGAGGGGCTGCACATGCAGTCCTGGAGGCCACAGAGAAGCCCTTGCTCCCTCGCACAGAGCTGAGGAGCCTCCACAAGGGACCCTTCTCTTTCCCCACTGCATTGTCGAATCCTGCCTCTTATTATTTATCCCCTGCCAACAATGTGTCACAGGAGAGACCTCCCCGGGCAGCCGCCACCGAGCTGGCGATTCACTGTGCAGCCGCAGCCCCGGCCAGGCCTGACAGCAGCTAAAAGAAGACAGGGCTTGTTGCAATTTGGCAGCTTGCAGAGCGAGAAGAAACCTTTCTGCTTTATTTGCCGCTTTTCCAAACGCGTCAGCATTGGGCAGCGTGAAATCCAAGTGGATCGAAATCCCCCCAGTGGGACCTGCAGACCCCTGGAGATGGGGCTGGCACAGCCTGCAGAGCAGCGGATGCTCTGCCACAGCCCTGCCGGACATGGGAGCCTTCCTGCCCCTTCCCAGAGTGATGAGGATGGTGATGGCAGTGCCAAAAACCTGGGAATTTGGGCCAGTCCGTCTGGATCATGCTGCTCAATGGAGTTTGCCCTCTGCCAACATCGTGCCTATGCAAACCCCCACCCTGCTCCTTCCAGAGTGCAGCAGCAGCATCATTCATGCTTTTAAATTTTTTTTCTCCTCTCCCTTACCCCCTTTTTTTGGGAGAAAAATCCCATTTCCCGGTGCCCCTCCCTGCAGTGAGCTGCTGGCACAAAGCGGGCCGTGAGCATTGTTCAGCAGTAGCAGCGTTAGAGACGCGATCCTTCCCCGCAGCCCGGCGGGGGAGCTGACCCTGGATGCACCGGGAATTGGGCTCGGGAGCAGCTCCCGCGCTGGATGCGGCCACAGCCCGTGGCTGCAGCGGAGAACGGCGGGGAGAGCTCTCTGCAGCGCCCCGAGACAGCTTTCTCTCGCAGGATCTGCTCAGCAGTGCATGGCTAAATATGTCCAAGAGCCCCGAACTTGGCTGGCGTTCGGCATGCCAAGCAAATGAAAGCATCGGAGCACCAGAAGGGAACTGAAGATTGTGCTGAAGTGCCATTTGCTACAAAAAATCCAAACAAAGGGAAAGAAAATTCCACATATTTCCCTTTTTTTTAAAAAAAAAAAATTAAAAAATTCACCAATGTAAAACCAAACTGGAGAGGGAGAAGGTGGCTGAGAAGGCAGTTGCTTCCCAATCCTCTTGGGAGTTTGCAGCTGGATTGGGCTGGTTTGCAGCCCCCTGTGCTGTTGTATGGGAAGGGGAGCAAAGTTCACCTGAACATTCCTGAGGGTCTCTGCTCCTGAGGGCAGCTATGCCATGGGCTGGGCGGGCAAGATGTGCCTGCCTGGTTTCTGGGCTGAAAAGCAAAGACAAAAGGCCCTGAAAAAAACTAAAATTCCATCATTGTCCGGGACTTGAGGTCAGTGTGAGGCAGGTAAGACACTTCTTCCCTGGCTCTGATTTCTGTCCCACACTGAGTGTATCCACTGCCTGTGTCTGAGTGCCACGTCATGGACATGATGTTTTCAAATAGCTACAACCAGTGGCACTTTATAAAGAGGTTCACAGAAACCTTTTAAAACTGATTTTTTTACTCTCATGAGTCAACCTGGGACAAGCCCAGTTATTTTTTTTTTTCCAATGTTGATAAACTGTAAATGTTTTTTTTTTAAAGGCCAATGTATATATTTTAAATGTGATTTATTCTATATATTTACTAACCAGAACTGCGAGTCTTGGGTCAGGGATAAGAGGACACTGGGGTGGAGCTGCCGATGTCTGAGCCACCTGAGGGCAGCACAATGCTGCTCTCTCTGTCAATAAGGGAACTAAACATTTGATTTTGCAGAAGAATGCCTATTTTTTGAGCTCTAGATCTCTATTTTGAAGCTACTGTATGGTGTGTAAGTTATGTACACTGCAATTGGGAATAACTGACCCCAGCTGCACCTGCTCTGTGCAGCGAGACAGTGAGGGAAAAAAATAGCCCATGTAATCACCAGACTGACAACAGATTTTAAACCATCTGCTCTGTTTGTGTTAATCATGTGTTTTGTTTTCCACTAACATCCATTAAGACTAAATTCTATTAAACAGTGGGGCATATTTTACCCTTTTGATAGTTTTGCCTAGTTGTGTCCTTTGTGTCAAATGGCACTAGCTTGTCTCCTACTGCTTGAAGTCCATTGAGGATCAGCTTTAGTGCTCCAGGGTTCCTGGTAATCTCCCCTTGTGAGTCCCAGTCACCTTCAGTGAGGTTAATGTTGAGTCTCTGGTGACAGCACTAGTGTCCCAGTGCCCAGCTCTGCCCATGTGCCACCTCCACTGTCCCCATGTGCCAGGCAGAGCATTCCTCCTGCCTGTTTAGTGTGGCTGCTGTCACCCCAGTCCCTGCTTTGCTCAGGACAAGCAGCCCAGGCCTCCTTATCCCACCACTGCTTGTCTCCAGTGCTCCCAGTGCCTCTTCCAGCTCATCCCAACCTTTCACCCAACCAGAAGGATTCAAACCGTGCCACCAGCCTTGACTGAAGCAGGAAACCACCAGGTAAGCAAATCTACTCTGGAGGAAGAAGCTTTCAGAGATGGACAGATTTGCCCAAAGCTGAGCAGAAACTGGGAAAAAGGCCAGAACTGGATCCCAGGAGCGTCAAGCTCTCAGGCTGTGTCCCTACAACAGGAAAATCACACCCTGTGACCCCAGCAGCCACAGACATTTTTACCTCCTTCCTTTGCTGGATGCAAACTTGTTCCCAACTCTTGGGTGTGTTATCCAAGACAATCATTTATTGCCATTCATATACTGGATGCTTGTGGGTCTGGGTCTGTTTCTTTTTTTTTTTCTTTTTTATACAATTTACAAGTTTTAATACAAATGAAATATTTTTACATACATCCCAAAAAATTTAATATAAAATATACAGCATTTAAAAACATCTTGATGTAGGAAATTTCCTTCTGAAGCCGTGCACTCTGACCCTCAGACACTTCAATGGCTGAGGGAAGGGTGGCACTGGTAAGACCATCCTAAAGGCTCCATTCATACACTTTAGCTCCCTCCAAGTCTAGCTGGGGAAGGAGGATGCAGGAAAATAAACATTTGTGATCAACCAGAGGAGGAAACCTTGATGGTGCCTCCTCCAGAGGAAGGTGTGGTCAGCAGGAAGCCCTGGAATCTGCTGCCTTTTAACACCTACAACAGTTCATGGCACAGGGCAAGAGCCAAGGTCTGGGTGGGGGGAAAGCTGGGACAGCAGTGAGCAGCTCTCTGCTGTCTCTGCAGCTCAGCTCAGCCATGGAGGAGATGCTATCCCACCTGTGACCTGACCCTGGCACCAGGAAGGAAAGTTGATTTCTCAGGGGCCAGGTGTCACAAATCTGGAGGTGGCATTTAGTGAACTGAAGCTGAGAAAGGTGCAGCTTGTTCTCCCTGCAGGTGCCCAAGAGCGAGGGCACAGTCCAGCCTGTCTGCCGTGGTGCAGGGGAGGAGCCCTGTGCTTCCCCAGGGAGCTTCTGGCTCCCTAATGCATGCAATCCTGACAGCATGGGATCTCCACATCCCCCCACCTGAGGAACTGAGTCCAGGGCATGGAACACCCCCAGCTGCCCCCCTCCAGCATCCTCAGTGTGTCCCCAGAGCTCAGGGGTTGGGGACAGCTCTGCACGTCTGCCAGCTCCACAGCAGGGTGAGGGTATTGCTTAGAGACACTCAGCTGTGTCTGTGCTCTCTGGTTATGCTGAAAAGTGAGGAAGACAAGGTGGAGCAGCAGGGCAGAGCTTGGGGGCTCCAGCCAGCTCCCTGCCTGCCAGGAGGGACCAGCTGCCACTTGTTAATCTCTGGTACCAAAGAGGAGGTAACAGCCAAATACTGTAGTGTTAATGTTGGGACCAAAAACAGGGTCAGGATTTACCAGCTTCAGAGTCAACATCTCCATGAGCTGCAAATATTCTGGTAGCCAAGCCTGTGTGCTCCTATGTGGCCCTTGGCTGTCAGCCCACAACAGGACCAGTGCTCCCAGTACAAATGGGGTCTGGTCAGAGCTCAGGAGCTTGTGCATTGCACTGGGACAGATCATGGTTTGCTGCAGCCCTCAGGGGAGAGGTCCTGCAGAAGAACACTGAGCAGATGTTGCCCAGGGAGGTTGTGGCTGCCTCATCCCTGGAATTTCAGCCCTGGAAGTTGGACAGGGTTTGGAGCACCCTGGGATAGAGGAAGGTATCCCTGCCCATGGCAGGGTGCCCATGGCAGGGGGTGGAACAAGATAAGCTTTAAGGCCCCTTCCAACCCAAACCATTCTGTGGTTCTGTGTGAAGGCATTAGCACAGAGGGGAGAGACTTCCCAGCACTACCACAGATAGACATGATTGGGGGGGGGTTCCCTGTGCCTTGGGGAGCAAGAACTGGAGGCAGCACAATCCTGGGATTGGGAAAGAAGCCATTGACCAGCTCTGTATTAGTCACAACTGCAAGTTGCAGATATCCTGCCTGGAAAGACATCCCCTCTCTCTAGGGCGGGATAGTCAGGGCTCAGGCTTTATCTCGAGCTGTGGTGTTCTCAAGCAGGCACATTACTGAAGCAGAACAGCAGTTTGGATCACAAAAAGGAGAAGAGCTATAAAACCTCTCTGGGGGTTGTTAAAGAAGACAAAAGCTGGTTCAACAAGGCTGCAGGAAGCTGAGCCATGCTGGCTCCCTGCAGGCAGGCAGAGCTGCCCTCCCTCTGCACCAGAGGATCACAGGCAGCTTTTCCCACAGCCCTGTCTCATCCCTCTTCTGACACAGCCAGCACATGGATGTGACAACGACACTAGAGGGCAGGGCTGGCCTAGCTCAGCTGTCCAGACCTTTCTTACTGTCCCCTCGGGAATGTGAGCTCCCAGCACTCTTGGGACTGCAAGAGGGATGGCTCCTTTGCCGCGGGACACAGGGCAGGGAGGTGGGGAGGGCATGCACAGGCACGCACACACGGAGAGCAGGCAGAGATGGAAAACCAAAACTGGTTTCAATAGAGATCTCCTTCTTCAGCAGCCCTACTGGTCCCAGATTCTCCTGCCAGGCCCAGGAAACCCATCTGCTCACAAAGAGAAAAGGAGCCGCTTCGTTTTAGCATCACCATGATACTAACGAATACCTCTAGTAATAAATAAATAAAGAGCAGCCTGAACAAGCACCAGAGCTTGCAGGTTCCTGTGAGGGTACCTGGCAGCCTGGGAAGGGGCTGAATACCTGTGGAGGGATCCCTGCCTGGGGCCCTGGGAAGGTGCAGATGTAGTTTTGCCAGAAGGCTGTCTGGTTTGCATGTGTGACAGAAAACTCCCCGAGCCTTTGGTGCAGCCACTCTCCCAGTGGCTGTTTGGCCCTGGCTCCAGGGAACTTGAGCTTGGGTGCTTTTAAAATGGTGAATTCATTCCCAGCTTGGTTTCAAACTGCAACTTCTGCCTCTTTTGGTAACGGACACGGACCCTGGAAAAGAAGAAAGAGAGTTGATATGCAGAGGGGTGAAAGGTAAAACTGCCCCACTGCCATTCCTGAGCTGCTAGCCCCAAGAAGCAGGGAAGCCCCCGGCCTGGGCCCTGTGGTAGCCTGGGAGGGAAATCAAATCCAGAGAGCAGCCCACGGTCTCCATCCTACCCCATCCAGCTAAATCCCATCTCCAGGGACACCAGACACAGCACAGAAAGGTTCAGAAACCTTTCACAGGAACAGAGATGATGTCTCTATCCCCATTAGGGTTCCCTGTAATCCCTGCTGCTTTTCCTCCCCAGCCCATTTCCTGAATTAATGTTCATTAGCGTTGACTCCCAGCTCTGGCTGCTCCCTGTGCTGGGAAGAACAGCCAGTGACTTTGCCTGCTACTCACTCTTGGCTTCAGCCACTTCCTGTGAAAACGAGTCCCACAGCCCAGGCCCTGTGTGAAGGCACATTTCCTCTCCTGATTCAATGCCTCTGCCCTCTTGGGACAAGATGGAGAGAACAGCCCTCCCCAATTCCATACTGGTGTTGCATAGACCTTGACTGTCTCCTTCCCTTTGGTTCGAGATAAAGAAATTTTGTTCTCCCTTCCTGCTCCCAATCACTGCCACTGCCCTTCTCTGACCCTCCTTCCTCCCCTGTGCTTCCTCTCTGGGAGGTGGAACGTAGGCCTGCACACAATAGCCAGGTGATTCACACAATGCAATCAGCTTTTCCTTTCTGTTCCCCAGCCTGTTCCCTGGGCATCATTATTTTGTACAGCTCAAGGCCACGCTGGAGGGAAGCTTCAGCCCTTTCTCCCCATCCTCCCTACAACCCCCATACCTGATTTCATGCAGCTTGACAATCTCATTGATGATAACCACAAGGACCAAGGAAAGAAAACCCAGGAGCCATGAGACCGGAGAGATGGAGACATGGTTAAAGGTCAAAGAAGAGTTGAGGTTTTCCCAGAGTTTCAGGTCCAGCACAGTCTGTGCCACTTGCCCCAGCACTCTAAGATTAAAAACAGACACAGCAAATCTCAGCAGACTTGATAAATTTCCCAGGATCTGCAGATCAGGATTCAGGCCCAGATGAAATGCTCACAATAAAGACCCTTCACCAGTTCAGCAGTGGAGATCAATTGCTATGTACTTGATTCTCCTCAGCACCAGCAAACTGGGGCTGGACCAGGTCTGGGGCCGTCCTTGCTCCAGCATCCTGGACCTCCCCAGGGCCTGGGGGTACTCACACAACAGCCACAGTGAGCGTCCACCAACGGTTAGAGAGGGGGCTCTTCTTCCACAGGGGCTTGGTGCGATGGACGTGGGTGATGGATATGAACACTGCAGGGAAAAGGGGATTATTGAGCATCACACACAGATACAGCACTTTACAAGGTACATCAACACCTGTTACTCCTAAGGGATCTGGGGTTCATGTCCCTGGAACCAGCCTACCATTCAAGGCTCTTTCAGACCAGGCTCCTCACCGCAATTCCAAGTCCCTGGAATGCAGGTGGGGCAGTGCAGTGGTTGTACTGCACACAATTATTCACTGTGAGGTTGGTTCACAGCCTGGGAGCTAAAACAGAGCAGGCAAAGGCCCAGGTCTGGGGAATGGGACAGGGGTGGGTGTGCCCTTGTTCCAGGGCTGCAACAGATGAAAGCTCCTGCCCAGAGAGAGATTCAGCCAGAGACCCAGGGCTGCCTGTACAGGACTGAGCATCTGCCCGGCTTTCACTCAGGCTCTCCCAAACAGCTGCCTGGCAGAGCACCCCAGCCTTGCCTTGGTGGTCTGAGGGACTCCAGCTACTGCAGCCCATTCTCTCCAAAGCTGGACATCAAATCAGGAAACATTTTTGTTGGACTGGACACATCTCAAGACACAGTGCTCTGCCCTGCACCATGGGACAAAAAGGACAGGGAGCTGAGACGCTTTCGCATTGTCAGGGAGCAGCTGGACCCACTCTGCCAGGCAACGGGTGCAAGTGATGAAGGTCAGCCAGGAGCTGGCTCCACACCCCTCTAGGGGGTTTAAAAAGGCTTCCAGCTCTCAAAGAGTCACAGCTATGCCAGTGCCCTTTGTGGGAGGGCAATGGGGTACTTCACAGAATAGCAGCAGGGATATAAACACTTTTGAAGCAGGGAATATTTTTGGAGAGCTACAGGTGCTGCTACTAACTTTCAAGAAGGTAAATGAGATTTGGCTCATCTGATGAGACTGGTCAGAACCAGCACTTCACCAGGCTGGTAGGAAGCAGAATCAGTTCTGAGGGTATTGTCTTTAATCTGCCAGGACACTGTTTAGTGAGAAAGGGGGAGTTGTGCCTGTGCTGTGAGGCCATTGCAGTGTCTGCTTTTATCAGGGAGTTTGTGCTTGGGCATAGGGGGCAAAGAAAGAGACAGAGAATGCACATTTTCCCCCAGAGCAGGGAATGGAGTTCTGGGAACAGGGACTTACCTGTGTGTAAAACAATCAGGCCAGCTGTGAGCTTCTGGGCTACCAGGAGAGCATTGGAAAACGTCCCAAACCAGTCAGGAGCACCATAAGCATTGCTAGTGAATGAGAGGACACAGGAAAGTCAACAGTGGGCACTTAACTGTCTGACCTGTTCCCACCAGAGCCATGTCCTCCTTTAACAGCTGAGGGATCTGTGTGTGAGCTCAGGCTGTCCTGGTACCAGGAGGTGACAGTGGGCAAAGATGCAGCTGTCAAGGCTACAGCCCTGGTGGCTCATGGAAGAGGCTGAAGCTTGTTAGAGGAGTGGAATCAGTCCAGGAGCAGTAGGGATGTGTGTGCCAGGCCCAGTTCCTCACCTGTGCAGCATGATGGAGGAGCAGGCTGTGAGGTTGAGGCTGGTGGTGTTCACCCCTTTGCAGGACTCATGCAGGGTGAACCCGAAGCAGATGAGGCAGGAGCAGATGGTCAGGCTGAATTTCAGCAGGAAGCAGAGCAGGAAGTAGTGCTGAGTCTGTGAATAAGGGAAAGGAAGGAGGATGACATGGGCATGTCACTGGTACAACCTCCTCCCCATGGACCATCAGTGGCTGCAAAAGACAAGCTGTAGTACAGATGAGAGACTGCACTGAGGATCTGCCCTCTGGGCATGCAAGATTCCCTCCCTGGCTCCTGCCATGGATCAATTTACTGAGCACACTAGGAAGGCACAGAGCCTCAGCTATGCATCAACACTGGGACAAAACTGAGAGATAAATGTGTGGACAATTTAAATCTGAGGGGCCACCTACCTTCTTGGGAATGGAAGTCAAGTTTTTTCCTGTTGCCATGGTCATGATGGAGCTGTGGGGAGGCTTGCCCAGGAGCGAGATACTGGAGAAAGGTAAGTTAAGTGTCTCAGTAATGTGATCAGGCACCAGAGTTATTGTGCTTTTATCTAACATTTGAACCCAAATAACCTACTCAGACTGCCTGAAGCACTGGCACTTATCTTTACATATGCCATAAAAGGTGTTATTCATGACAGGTGCAGACAGAGAGAAAAGTGACCTCCAAATGTATGAGTGAGGAAAATACCACCTGTGGTACCTTGGCCTCCACCTGACACCTCAGACTTTCCATCACACAAGGCAGGAGTAAATACAGCAGCACACAAATGCTCCTGTCACTGTTCCCAAGCACCCTGTCAAAGCAGGTACTTGGAATAATCCTTGCAGCCTTCTTAGCATGCTGTGGGTGACATCAGCTTTCTTATAGCATGGACACAGTGAGGCTGTGCATCCTGTGGAGAGTAGAAGGAGATTCCACCCTGACAGACTCACCTGAGCAGTGGGTAGCAGAAACAGGAGAGCCACACGATGTCTGTGGTACTGAGGATGGGGGGCAGCTGCACCAGGCAGGAGAGGAACTGGACAGAAACAACCCAGAGTGAAGAGCATGAGCTAGGACAGACTTGTTACCCAAAATGCTGCTGTCTTCCCCCGAAATGCTGGGATGAGCTGGTAACCGGGCTGCCACTGCACAGCCCCTTCATATGTTCCTGTGGCAGGAGCTGCAGGAGATGCTTTTCTCCAGGGAAAACGGGTTTGAAAGTAAATGTATGAGGATCAGGGAGAAGGGGCAGCACAGGCTGAGATCACAAAGTCTCCATCTGTAACTTCCCCAAGCACACTGTGTAAATCTGACCGAAGGCCACATTCCTCTCTTGAGGCTGCCCCACTGCAGCCACCCATATCCATGCGAGCCCTCCTGTCCTCTGAGCTAAATGCTATCTCCAGCCAGGCCAGGACTCACCTGAATGACAACCAAGGTCAGCTGGCACTGCAGCAGGAAGAGGAAACACTTGCGGATCCCATACGTCGCATGCCTGGCCTGGAAGGAAGCACAAGCCCTCAGAGCCCTGCTGGGAGCAGCTGCCAGCCAAGAGCAGTTATGGCAGGCAGGGGCAGAGCATGTAACCTGGCAGGGGAAGTGGGAGGGGAGAGGATCTGGGCACACTGAAAGCAAAAAGGGAAGGTCTCTTGCCTACATGGAGAGGTTCTGAAGGAAAGGCAGGATTTAGCCAAGGGGAAAGTTTGTTTAAACTCCTGGCTTTTTTGGAGTTACACTTCTCCTTAACACTGCAGTGTTATCTGGCTAGGGATCTCTGCAAGAGTATACTCCATCCAGATGAACAATATTCACGTTCTGTTGCCCCATGGCACCATTTCCAAACCATTCCCTACACCTTGGACCAGGAGGGCCAGGCCCCTCTTTGTGCTTCTGGGACAGAGGTCAGGAGACACAGGCAAAGCTCCTGCTGGCAACATTGTGGGCACCTCAAGCAGAATGCTCGTGTGAGCTCCTGGCTCTGCTTCTTCCACTGGGGAGAGGGGATTGCTTGGCTCACCTGCTCTATGAGCCTGATGATGCTGGTGCTCTCTTCTTGGCGGAAGGACATGGAGCAGGGCAGGCTGTTGAGCTGCCCTGAGAGCTGCAGTGGGGTGAGCTCCTCAGAGCCATTGGTCAGGGTGGTGCTGGTGGCATAGCCAAAGGTCTCCCAGGAGCAGCGGGATGGGTAGAGAGGGTCTAGGGCTATACTGCAAGAACAACACAGAGGTGTTGATGAAAGGCCTCATCCCAGAAAGGAAACTGTCTCACTGCAATCCAGCTTGGGACACTGTGCTGTGTCATGCTCTGTATACCTTGCTCAGGTAGAGAAGCCTGAGCTATAACATGAAATTAGGATCAATCTCCCTAGACTTTCACTTAGTCACAGAGAAATAATGAACATATTTGGGTTTGTGGCACAAGGTCAACAAATTGGCTGATCCATGGGGTACCTCCACTCTTTCACCCAGTGGGAAGCATCTGTAATGGTAGTTGGGGCACAACATTCCAGCATGCAAAAGAGTATCTTCCTTTCAGACACAGAAATACATCTGTGTATCAAGGGCCTTAGACATCCCCATCCTATCCCCACAAATCTCCCTCTTGAAGACAAATGCAGCTAAAAATGGACAGAGCAGTTGTGAGCACCTCCCTGCACAATCCCTGGGTGTGGTGTGACCCACGGCTGGGTACTTGGTAGGATCATGGATAATGCAAAGGCAGCTGGAGGAGGAATAGACCTTGCCCCACCTGATATCGCTCTGCAGGAAGAGACAACTGTTCCGAAGGTTGGCAGAGCTTCCCAGACAGCAGGTCACCTCCCCGTACTCCTGCATGATCTTGATCATCTCACACATGGCTGCAGAGGGACAGAAGGAGCAATAGTGTGTTATGTCATTATGCACACAAAAATACAGTGTTTCACACCCTTTCTAATCTGGATAACAAGCAGATTAAAACTGCCCCTTGTGTACAAATGCACTTGTGTACATTGAGATCCACAGCCAAAACACACAGTTAGATAATTAATTAACTGCAGACCAGGTGCTCTATATACCTGTCACTGCAGGAATTGATCTGTGGTTCACAGAACTATGACCCAAATACAGTGTTTCAAACTCTGCTCAGCAGCACATCATCAGTGTTGTTTCAAGTCTAAAGGAAGGGAGGGAATGTAACAAACCACTCCAAAAGCAGTGCCACACTTAGCCATACTCAGAGCCAGTCCCTGTTCCTGCACTCCCACCCACCACTACCTCAACCCTTTATCAATAAGGGTATTATTATATAATAATATAATTATTATATAATATCTTATACATTTGATAGATAGATCTATGTCCAAGCAGCTGTTTGATTTGATTTCAGTTCTGTAGCTCCATACAGTGCTCTGTGTATATATGGATTTTCTAGAATGCTCCAAGCAAAAAAACCTCAAGACTCCCCTCTGCAGATTCCCCTGTAAACACCTTCACTAAATGCCTGGTGCACAAAGACCTGCAGCACAGTGAGGGGTTGGGTCATGTGGGGAGCTGCCACTTCTGTCAAAGAGAGAGAGGAAATTTGGGCACTAAGTGTGAAAGCAGACTGGACTGTGATTGACACACTGGAAACTGTGGCCAGAGGTACTAAAATGGCAAATCATAATTATGCTCCACACTTACTGGAGACTTGGCAGGTATTTGCCAGCTGAGCACTCAGCCCCTTTCTTTAAGTAATACCTCAGAGAGACAGAGAGAAATTTTGTGCTTTCTGTTTCCTGCAATCAAAAACTGTAAAGCAGCAGAAGGTGTTAACAGTAACTGCCAGGGGAAAATTCTTCTGGGAAGTGATTTCCGAGTTATGTAAGAGCTGTGAGCAGAGATCAGAGTCTCCTGGTACGCTGATAACACTTATTTAATGAAAGGCAGTAACATTTTGTATGTTTGCTTTTGTGTCTCTTATGAATGCAAATTGAAAGGAGTGGTTCTCAGCCCAATTCAGCAGCTGGGCAACAGCTGCATGAAAATTCAGTTAACACCTGGCTCCCCACAGGTAGCAACAGAGGATAATTAATATCAATATGTCCTTCTAGATTTCTGGAATGTATCTCCTTCCCTTCACCCATGTCTACACTTGGATGAGCCAGACCAAGGAGCTGGGAAAGGAATTCATGGACAGGAGTAGGAAAGGCCACTTACTCTCTGGGGTGCAGTCTGTGAACAGGGGCACCAGCAAAGGCACGTTGTCAATATTCTGCAGGTGAGGTCTCACCTGGTGGATCCCCCGGGGAAGTTTGGCCTGAAAAAGAGAAAGGACAGATTAAGCAGGGAGTGTGAGAGAGAGGCATTTCAGAGGGAATTGCTGAAATGAGAATGATGACTCCTAGAACAATGCAACCTCGAGATCAGATACAAATTCACATTCCTGCAGATAGAACTGGCTTTCCCAAGCCACTGTCAGAAGTTTTCTGACAAAGTTTTACACTGACCTCCCAAGCTGCCCTCAGAGTTTGTAAGGTCAGTGTGACAAACCTGTGCCCAAGGATTTCTAAGGACTTTTTGCCTGTGTGAAGAATCTAGTCAGACACATCTGCTGTCTTCCAGCAACTGAATCTATTTCAGTTGCAGCCACATCAACCTGCAGCAAGGCAAGAAGGGGTCTTACCTTCTAAAACCAGGCCTAAATGATTTTTTTTTAATCTGTATCTCTGATATGCCTGTAATGTCTGCTGAGCATGTGAGGTCTTTATGAAGCAGGAAGGGCTTGTCTCACACTCTGACCACAGGGCAGCACCAGTCTGTGGCTCACAGCTGGAGGAGTGTTTCTTCTGTCTGCATGGAAAGTGGGGATGTTCCCATTCCCTGCCCAGCCCATGGGACCCAGAGGAACTGAGATGCAACTCTCAAGGTTGCCCTGTGTTTGGTAACCTCCACTCCTGAACTCCAAAGCAAAGAGCTGTTCAGCAAAAGTAACTAAGAAAGCAACTGAGAGGATCCCAGGCTCTAGATACCAAGCTGAAGGAGGGTGAGGGAAATCAGGGGTCCCAATATAAACCAATCCCCTTCAATGAGGAATTTCCTTCGGGAGTAATGAGGTGACACTCCTGACCATGACAGCAGTAGAAGGTGTACAGGGACAGGGGCCCTCACCCTGTTACAGTCCTCCAGGAAGCTGGGGATATCACTGTCTGTTGGCTGAAAGCTGATGAGATCCGAGTGCCCTTCCTCCTCCATCAGCAGAAGCCCCTCCACATCATCTCGAGAAACTGGAACAGAGAAGCAGCATAAACAACAATCACAAACCTGCCTCTGCCACCTCTGTGTCACCCACGTGGAACATGCACGTGGCACTGCAGAAGCCAGGAAACGTGAAGCCTGATTTTCTGGGTTAGCAACACTCAGATCTCCCACTCAGTCATCTAAAATGCAGTATTTTTAGATTACTAATCTGTTCAGAGGTAGATATATGAGCCTAGTCTCTGCTCTTTTGAGACATGATACTTTATCTGTTCTGCTGTCGTTCTAGAGGAAGAGAATAAAGAAATCCCACCAGAAGTAAGAAAAAAAGAGTAATGCACAGGCAAGGGACCTTCAGTGGCTTGACTAGGGCCCCAGCAAGAAACACAAGCACTCATGAGCACATAAATTCATGGCAGCTGGTGCACAGAAGGGTGTCTGTTTCCAAAAACTTGGTACTGGCTGGCTAGAAAGGCTATAAATGTAAAGTGATGCCACTTACACACACACACACACCTGAGGGCCATCCAGCTGTGTGCTCAAAGCTTGGACAGATCAAGTGTCTGGTGTGGACACAGGAACCCATGAATGGCTTTAAAAGAACCCCCCAGGAAACACATGGCATTCAGAGTGACCAAGGCACAGTTCTCACCCTGATGGAGGTCATCGTGCAGGGAGCCAGCATGGCTGGGGCTGGAGGGGGGGATCTCTGAGCCAGGCACATCACCATTGGGTGTTAAGGATATGTGGCAATTCCAGCCAGTCTCCAGACCCATTTTCTCAGCAAACACCTGTGGGTGAGCAGACAAAGGGTTTTAGAGTGGCTGCCCAGGCCAGAGCACTGCAGACTGATGCCATACTGGGAGCACAGGTACCTTCTGGACTCATTAGTGGGCTGAATGAGATTAACCTTAGATTGCATTGGAGCTAAACTCTCCAGTCAGACAACCAGGGGCCATGCAAGGTCAGGGGGGTCAGCAAAGACAGCTTACCTTGCTTTTGAGCTCATCTTCCAGGGAGAAGTAGACAAAACGAATGCAGGCATTGACCAATCCATCAATGAGGCGGACAATGTCGAGGCGGGCCTGATACTGAGATGAGACCATTCCCATGAAGATCTGTCCACTCAGAGCCTGGATACAGTCTTCCTTCTCCATCACTTCCCCAATCCCTTCTTCAGGCATGCAAACAACACGCAATCACATTGAGACATGAGGGGCCACATCACACAAAGGACATGTGGTGGGGAGGCCACCAAGGTGATACCCAAGTACACAGCAGACACAGAAATGTGCAGGAACACAAACACAGGAGGAAAGATGAAGAGACATCCATTTGTCCCAGCATACCCAGTCACAGAAGTGGTTTCAGGACATCCCCACATAGGAGACCAAGAACACAAGTGGGAAACAGCAAGCAAGGAAAAAGATAAAACAGAAGGCAGGGATCAGTCACAAGGAATTTAGGTAGAAAGGTCAAGGATGTGTACTGCATAATGTTCACATGTACATTTTAAACACATCCTACTGTGCCTAAACAACATGGTGAGTCTAGCTGAGGCACAGTGGCATCATACCACAAGGGGCTGATGCAAAGGAACTGAATCATGTTCCCTGCAAACACTTCCAAAAAGCCTGCAAAGGCTCTTTGACAGGGTTCCTTCACCATCACATCAGCCTGTGGTGAATGGGGGCTGGATACAGCATGAAGAAGAAAATAATAAAACACTTCACACAGTTGCAAGGCTTGCCACAGGTGGGACTCAAAAGTATTGTGAAAACAGTTATAACTTCCTAGCTGTTGGAAACCCCACTATCTGTCACGTTTTACAGAATGGAAGACCAAGAGAAAGAGGTTAAGACTGGTTTTCCAAAAGAGCCTCCTGGATTTATGTTAATGGTATGTGCTTCTTAGTCTCCATTGCTGTTCTGAAGGAGATGTACAGTTCATCTAGTGGGAATCAGTTCCTTCAGTACAGCAACAAAATCCATCAAGGAATAACAGTTGCATAGCACTATACATTTCAATCCTTTGAAAAGCCCATCACATGTGATTTCCATAAAATCAGACAAATATCAAACCAAGTACTGAAATACCCAGGAGTCTTGACTCTCCATAGCCTGCTTTAAAAACAGACTTCCTACAAGAAGAATTTCTCTGTAAGCTTCAATAACTTAGCTAGAAATACCCCTACCAGCTGCCACATCATTACTTCCTCTGAAAATGCATCTACTTCAGAAGCTCTTCCTTCCAAGTTCCCATCTGCTGCTCTGAACAACAATGTTCTTACAGCTCTAGACTGATCAGATCCAGCCCCTGGGCCAGCAGCAGACCTGGCTGCAGCCAGGACTGCAGACACACATACCATCTGAGCTCCAGCTGTTCCTCCGGCTGCTCTGTTTGATGGGAGTGGTCCCAGGGAGGTCACAGCACGTGAAGATCGCGCTCTGCCCCGGCACCTGCACCAGCTCTATGCACTTGCCATTGAGCTGGGAGGACAAGGCACAGTGCATCGGCTTGTATGCAAAGGCAGAGCAGTATCCTGACAGGCAGGCTCGCTGGTAGAAATCCAGCACCTTCTTCCTACGTGGAAGAGAGAAAAAACCAGACAAAGCTAGCAAAAATGTGCCATGTTTCTGACAATACAGAAATGCTGTAGTTCCATGTATTTGGAGAAATGCCTTCCATAAAGAGTGGTTAGAAAGTCTGAAGAAGCCTTTCCCTACTGTTTCTGCGTTCTCCAAGCTGCAGGGCAACAAGAACATATATTCCAGCAGAGGCAGTGGTGAATGTTTCTGTTTGCTCATCAGATTGATGGGTATGAACACAGAGCTCTTCAAATACACTTATTAATATAATATGCTTAATATGGCTGCCAGATGACTCCAAGGAAATTTATTGCATGACAGCAGAAGCTTAATTTATCAGACATAATTTATCTGTAGGGAGATAAACACCAAAGAGGGAAATGACAACTCTGACAAGAGGATCTATGGCAGAGATAGTTGCAGGAGCAGACTTTTCTCCTGTCCCCTTTCAGAATCTGGGTCCCAGGAACTGTATTTAGTCAATATTCAGTCACTGAAATAAAGTTCCTTCTCTAAGCTGAATTCACAAGAGGTAACAAATTAGACTACACATCAGATATAGTTTGTTTTTTTTTTTTAATTTGCTTGTAACATGATCAATATTCCAAAAAGGATCAGTGGCAGTTTTTTCACACCTGAGGATAAGCAGATTTAGAAGAGCAATGTGAAAAGTCAGTGAAACTAAATATTACTGGTCTGCTGTGCCAGCAGGAACAGCAATTCAGCCTGTAGATGAAAATACAGCACAAACTGACAGATACTGCAGCAGGAGTCCAAGGGTGTGATGCATTGTGTGGACTGGTTCAGGCACAATTGATCATTTTACATTTCATATAAGACAACACATTTTTCTTGAAAAACAACAAAAAATTTGCTGCCACCAGCATGACCTGATTATAATTTAGTCCTACTACACAGTACAGTCAGAATCCACTTAGAAGAGGACAATATCCCAATAGATGGAGTAAGAAGTGGCTTGCTCTTCCAGTCTAACTGAATGCTTGTTGCTGTCTAATCTCTTACATTGCTATGATAACAATTAATTACAAGTAGAGGTGGTTCATGTTCATAACCTACTTGAAGCCCTTAAAAAGCTTAACAAGCATCACGAAAAGAATTTTAACAGAGTGACCAGGTTCCCTCTGCATTTCACCTGCAGCTCCTGAATGCCCCAAATGAGAAAACTGCCCACCTGTCAGAGCCAGAGAGGGGGTAGATATCAGTACCATCCCAAAAGTCAGTGCAGGCCTCAAGGATGATGTCAGCTGTCCCATGAGAAAACATCTGCTCAGTGCCTGAAGTGTAGGAGAACAATGAGTCAGTATCACACATACAGCTCCCAGGAAGGGGATATCACACCAGCTGCTCCCTTGTTTGTTAAAACATGAGTGTTCCCACAAAATGCTTTGGTGCATTCCAGATATTCCCTTTTCCTCTGCTGAAAGTCTTCAGTCTCCGTTAAGAAACTGTTCAGGATTGATGATGCACCTGCAACTGCCCTTTGTCTAACTGTGGGTTCAAACAAGGCAGTGATAAAATGTAAGCCATGTAGTCCCTTCCTATTCTCCCCTTACCCTGTGTATCAATCCTGCTCCTGTAAAGGTGGGATAATGCCTTGCTCCTGAATCCCACAGAGCAGAAGAGAAATTCCTTTGTGCCTCTTGTCATGAAAGTACAAGCAGCAGTGATGAGCCTACGGGGATCAAAGTCTGCCTACACTGCAAAGTGCATTCATTTTTAGGCCAGACATGGAACTAAAGGGTAAGAGCTATTCTTGAATACTTTTCATTCAAGTAGCAGAAGACAATTTGACAGTGTGACCTGCCAGATAACAGCCTGTTTCACATTTTCACCCTGAAAATCTGTTAAATCAGGATGGGTCAAAAGTTCAAGAGACTCAAAAGTTCAATAAGAAACTCTAAAAAAGTAACTCATGTTGTCCTTAGGGAAGAACTGAAAAATCAATGGACACCACAGCTTGTCCTGTTTTTCTTTCTCCCCCTGTTTTAGTTTTTAATACAGACTCAAAATCTCTTATTCCCTCTTGTAGTCAGAGGTGTTAAGAAGTTTTTCTCAGAGGTGTGTGACATCCCTGATGCAGGTCCCAGTCACAGGACACAAGTTTAGGGATGTGGGGCTGCCTCCACTCCACACCTCCTGCTCCTTCTCATTTGTATCGACCCATTAATATTTCCTGCACGTAAAGTCTCCTTTCCCTCCTCCAGCTGCTCTCTTTGCCCCCAACAGCTTCAAAGCTGAGCTAATGAAAAAAACAAAAACCAAAACCACAAAAAAACCGAAAGAAACCCCACCACTGCCATGAAAAATGAGCCCAAAGGCTTCTTGCAGGCATTGTTGCTGACTGCTGACTGGCTGGTGAAATCCAGAGCCAAGAATATCCCCTCAACACAAACCAGGCAGGGACCTTCAGGAATACTGGAGGATTTTCCAAAACATAGCAGCTCTCTGCTTTTGCTATAAATAGTCATCACAAGCCAAGTTTATCAGCATAACAAACCTCCAAGACGAATAAGAGCTGTGTGTGAAAGAAGGAGTCTGTCTCAGGGACACAAAGGAGCACTTGTGCACAGCTCTGTTTAATTTTATTGTATAAACACCTAATCCTTCCCACCTTGCTCCTAAAGTCAGATAGTCCTGGCTCAGAAAGAGGGAACAAAATATGTTTATCCATGCAAAACCTGTGTCCTGGACACAGAGCAAGAGCTTGCAATAACCACATGCACAGATGTACCCACGTTCATGCCTGACAGCAACTGCAATCCATTTCCCATTCATTCCCACCAGAATCCCACACCACAGCCCTGCTAAGGAGAAAGTGGCAGTGACTGCAGACACCATAAACTGCAAGAAGTTCACTGAGCTGTCCTTGACAGTAAAATGAGCTCAGCCTTTCCCAAATCATGAACTCTCAGGCCAGGATTGCTCTAGCAAAAAGGGAAAAAACAAATGAATAGGTCAGGGGGTATGATCAGCCACTCATGGCTGCTGGGACTCATTGGGAAGAACCAAACTGCTCCATCTGAACCAATGGGACAGATCAAAAGGAATGGAGCAGTGCAGTTCCAGCAGAGAAAGACAGAGATGGTATCAAGCCATTTTACTCCGCGGAAGATGCCAGCGAGCACCTCATTTCCATGCTGTTACTATGGATCTGGGATGAACACTGCCAGATGGTGAGACATGTATTTCAATGGAATAGTAAGGGAACACACAGATAATCTGCCTCCTATTTTCTGCTATAGCTGTAGAATTTATGTATCTTGCTTTGACTGCAGCATGTCATGGGAGTGGGTGGATTCATAGATTTATTCACAAATAATGTGTGGCGAGAGGTAAATTATGATCATCTGGTCTGACTTCTGCATAAACAGAGCCATTTGACTTCACTCAATGTTATCTGCACAATCCAGTATTTCTGGTTCTAAAATGGCAGCATTTTAGGAAATTTCAAGGGACAAGACTATTGTGTGAGAGGTGCTCCAATGGTTAACTAAACCCAACCAGCAAAATTCCTCTAAGAATTTACTCTAGACAGCATAATCCAGGTCACACCTATTTGTCTGAGCTCTAGGCTCTAACCTAAACCGTTTAAAAGTGAGGATAAGGAGTTGAAATGAGGCAACATTAAAGGTTTTTTCTCCACTAAAAATCTCAGCATCAAAATAATTCCTACTTACAAGGGAAAGATAGCAGCAATCAGAACAAATGAAAAAGCTCCTTCCCAGATGAAGATAAAAATTTAAGAAGAAGTGGGTGAGAGAAGACAGTTAACCTGGTAAAACTCTGGCCAGCACAATGATCATATTTCAGATTCAATACTGAACATATGTCAACTCTAGAGAGCCAAGTTCAGTCAATTTAAGGAATTACAAAGAGACTAAAAGCTCTGACAGGCAAGCTGTTAAATCTTTCTGAGGTGCTTTAAGACCTCGACCGGCTGTACACCCTTTCCATCCCAGCCCATTCCTATGAGAGTAGGAAGGAGTAGAAAGAGTACAGAAATCTGTATGGCTTCAGTTCTATATTCATGGTCACTGTGAGTTTGCATGGAAGTTTTGTGATTTCTTATTAGTATGCAATATAGGAGTGTGTAATGTAACACACTAGACAACTCACAAAAATATTAGTTTATGATTTATCAGAAAGGATGAGAATTATTAACTAAAACTCAGAGTGATATTCAACCCTGTGCAGTATTAGTTTCACTACCATCATGAAGTCTATTAAAAACTCAGTAAACCCATACCATGCTCTGCAATGCTGTTTGCTCCCAGAAAACAGATCTACTATGTGCTATCTAAAATATTTTTTAAAAGATACTTATTATTCTGGAGCAAGTCAAGGCTGTGAAGAATTCCCCCCCCCAGTATACCACAGATGATCACTGAGGTTTGTTAATCATATCTGCACTGGCCATGGACAGAGCGGTGGCATCACCCCACAGGAACTCCAGGCTCTTCCAGCCTTACATTTTCTGGGCTCTCTGAGGAACAGTTTCCCCTGTGCCAAGTGGATGCCCAGAAAAAGAGGCAGCCTTACTGGTAGTGGTGTCCTTCACAAACAGGTTAATCATGTGGCTCAGGGGGGGTCTCCTCTTGGTGATGGATGAAAGCTTCCCCAGGATGGTTTCCTTAACCATTTCATCACTTGGCAAGCGGTACAAAGCCAAATAGTTCTCCTGCTTGAAAAGATCTTTAGCACCTGGTGTGAAACCTGAAATATGAACACAAAGAGGAGGAAAATCAGGCTCTAATCAATGTAAAAGAAAAGTTCCTTCTTATTCTGTGCCACCCACTTTGCCTGTGCCCATTCTGACACCTTCCCAGCAATTGGTAGGTGCTCACTGTGCTTCTATGTAAATATGGCTTAAGATCTAGGATGAAAAACATCCTCAAAATTATTAGATTAGTAATTACAGTGTTCCTGCTCTTGTTCACTGATGAGAGTAACTGTGACATCACAGGACAGGCATGGATGTGAGTTCAAGTTTCCAGGTTTTAATCCTGGTGTTACCTCTAACCTCTTACTGCCCCTATACTTCCATTTTCCCATCTGTAAAATGAGCTGAGGTACATCATTTATCCCCAAGCTCCCTGTAAAGCCCTACTGTAAAGACAGGCCAGATATCTGTTCATTAGCAGGTATTCTTTGTCTCCTGATAAGACTGGCAGACTCACACCAGAAGAATATGAAGCTTAGCCAGAGCTGGCTGGCACTATCCTTGATGACATTTGTTCCTTGGATAGCACTGACAATGTCATAACTTGCCAAAAGCCATCTCTTTAATAAACTCCTTTGGCAACCAAACAACAACAGAGTCAGCTCTATATTTCCACCTCCTCAGCAAATGGGACTGGGGAAATATTCTCATGCTCTCTAAGGATTAAGTGCCTATTGACAGCTCTGATTTCTCCTTGTCTGTTCATCCAGTTCCTCCTCACCTATCAGCCTGGCAAGCTCACAGAGGCCCCAGGGCACATGGACAGGCAGCACAGCATTGTGAGTCTCCTGCAGGGCGATATTGCAGAGGTGGTCGGAGAAGCGGCACAGCCGCTCAGTCACGCTGGCGTTGCACAGGTTGAGCAGCACGTTCAGGCCCAGAGGCTTCAGGGAATTCAGGTGCATGTGCCAGTTGGAGTCATCAAACTGGATGCAGGAAGGGTTCTGCTGGTCTTGGGACAGGCTGAGCATCTCCAGGTGGTAGTCACACACAAAGTCTTCAGCCTCACAAGCCAACACCTCGTGCCCCTCAGGTAAGTCTTACCTGAGTATGCTCCTCCTCTCCACCCTCCGTGTCCTTGCTAAAGCTCACGTTGGATCCAGAGGGGTGTTTGCTTCTGCTGTTCGGCTTCCGGTGAGCAGAGGCTTCAGGAGCCTTTGGAGCATCACCAGACCAGTTGTTCCTCTCTTGTTCACTGGCCATGTGCACTGTGTCTGCCAGGGGGCCAGAGAGCAAAGCATCTCTTTCATGGGGCTGTGAGAGACCAAGAGAGCCAAGGGTGGTGATTCAGCAGTTGAACACAAGGCACTGCTGCTTCAGGACTCTGTAGAAAAGGATCATCGCTTGCTTCTTCATCTTTAAGCAAAGAATTACAGGACTTCTCTACAAGGCCCCTTTATAATATCACATTGTGTTTCAGTCAAACTATGATTGAAGCCAACACATTATGTTATGGACTAAGAATCACTCACCTCATCTTCCATCTCAGGATGGCAGAAGGACCGTGTGGAGAGCTCATCAGTCAGGTCTTCGTGGCTGTCATGAGGTGGTTCCACCTTCCCACTGAAGAACAGAACAGTCTCTGGGCTGGGGTTTGGCCAGGAAAGAATCCCCTGCTTGTCTACACAGCAGAGCACCTAGAACATCCCACAACACCCCAAAGAAAGAAAAATCTTAGTGAAAACATCTCAGTGTTCATGTGCAGTTGTAAATATCATGACTTTAATAAACACATGGCACGACAGACAAGTCTCTCCTTTCAACTTTCTCTCTTAAGAAACTGCACCTAATAACACTCCAAGAAATCCAAGAATTCCTTGCTTTAACAAGATTTATGGGTTGTTTAACACTAATTTTACTTCAGCATATTGCAAAACTAGGCATGAAGACCAAGGGAAGGAGGCAACTACTCAACCTATTTCAGCAGCTAGTACCTTCCCAGGACCCAAACCAGCTGGCTCTTGCACAGGAATCAAGAGGGTAATTTGACCAGAACCAGAGCTGGAAAATACAGACATCTTGTCAGATGTCACAGAGTATCTCAAACCATTGTTTTAGCATGTGAATGTGCTTGGATATGACAAGACAGTTATAAACTCTTCTACAAAGACAGGTGCCTGAAGGGTTTCTAATTCCAGCACAGTGAACTGATTGCAAACAGTCTGTGCTCAGGGAAGGATAACATCAATGATGCAAATGAAACATCCTCACAGAGCTCCTCTTTCTGACAACCCAGCAATACTCACAGTGACAGATCCCAGACTGTGGAGCAAGCTGGAAGTGAAGCTCAGAGTTGGGGATTTGCCTTTTAAAACACAGAGGAAGTGGCTCCAGATACAACGTATCATTTCCTGAGGAGGGAAGCAGAAGACATCAGCCAGTTAGAGACTCTTTCAGTGGAAGAAGAAGGGAGAAGGAAAAAAGGGAGTATGACATTACCTTCTTTCAACACAGGGATACACTGTAAGATAGACATCAGTCTCTGTGGGAACCTGTTACCTGATACAGTGCTGGTGTTCTCCAGGCAAAAGCATTTCTTCCCCTTTCCACTGATTGCTAACAGTCAGTCTGATTGTTGAATTGAGAATTCACTGAAACTACCTCTTGTCTACCCAAAAACATAGAAATGAATTCTGGAGTGAGTTCATTTTGAGTGAGCCCATTGTCACCTCTTGGTGTTTTTATCCTGAAGTAACTCAACCCCTTGGATTGTGGGGTTTGAGGCCTTTGGTTTCTCACCACTGTGCTGCAAATTGGGTGAAGGATGGGCTCCCTGTGCTGAGGTGACTTGCCCAAAGTTACTTACTGAGGCATTGACAACATTGGAAACAAAGCCAAGGTTCCTCCTCTGGCAATCCTAAAGCCAGTAAAACCAGGATTGAACTACTGTGTTATTTTACTGCTTTTTAGCTGTTATTCTGGAATACTGTGACTGCAGAGCACTTCCCCCAAAGCTCCTCAAATCACGTTCCCTGGATCCTAATGGCTAGTACAGCAGTAAACTCAAATGCAAAACAATCTGGAGCTATCACCAAGAAAAAAAAAAAAAAAAAGTTCTTACTTAAACCAGATTCTTCTAAGCAAAAATTTTACAAAAGGAAAGAAACAGATCTTTGGAACAAGGTAGGTCATCTAAAATCACTTCCATTTAATATCTGAAAAACACCTCAGCTAAATGATGAACTGGCACAGAAAGGCAACAAAATATTTAGCAAAGGAATCGTGTGTGCACCCATGTGCATTCCTCTGAGTGACTGGGAGCAAAGAGACAGGAATATCTTATATCTAGGGATTTTTAATCATTCCTGGAGTCCATCTGCCTCCTTACAGAAAGAGGAATCTTAAAAGCATCAGATTAGATAGAGAAGTATCTTTCCTCTACCCACCTGTTTAATCTGGATGATGCAATTTATAGAGAGGCCAGAGCAGTTTCTTCCCCAGAAAAAGGGCTCCTGAATGTTTAATTGCCCCAGCTTTGGCAGCACTGGTAATGTGCTTAAGCCTGATAAGAAGCCTATGGAGCAGGATCAGACTTTTAAAAAGCCTGAACATTCTGCAGTCCTCTCTTCAATTTGGTCTGGATGCTCATCATCCCACCATCATTCCCTCTGGGTTTTAGTTTTCACCTGAACAAGGTTTTTCTGGTACAAGCAAAATACTTCCCTTTTTTCAGACACACACCATACAAAGTTTGTTTTACTTCTGGAACAGGACTTGAAAGAGGTACTGTCTCCAGGACAGAAAACACTGATTTCAAATAATTTGCAATATTCAGAAAAGCACAACTGGACTCAGTATGGAGGTCACCTCAATCTCTGGTCAGCACAGCAGTATTTACATGGGGAGGTGGAAGGGGAAGACATGCAACCTGCATGCACAGCAAATTAAAGTAACAAATGAGTGACAATGAACAACTGGCACAAGTAAAAAGGATCTAGCAACAAGCAGGAGATCAGAGAGGAAGGGAAAGGATATCATGAAGTTCTGCAGTGAAGATGGAGGAAAACAATTCATAATAATAGTACCTGAGAAGATACCATCTCTGTGTAGCTGCTGAGAGTGTCCTCTGAAAACTTAGCAAGCTGCAGCAAGAGAAGAGACCAGTTACTATAATTGTGCTCAGAAATGTGCCATGAGGAACATCCTTCCCTCAGGATGTGCCTTCAAGGAGGAGAAAGCAGGAGTCCTGCTCTGTGGGAATCACTGTACCAAGGCAGATTGATAACTCATCAAAGCAATTAAGTCTTTAATGGGCTCTGTTTTTTATCTACTTGTGAAGCACAGGCAAAGTGCTCGGTGCTGTACATCACAGAGGAACACACAGTCATTACCTAAAAGTCTACAGAGAAAATAATAGCAATTAGACCCAGAGGAGGCTCTTTCTGGGTGGTTATTTTTAGTCAGAAAAAGCTAGGATTGAGTGATCTGATTTTAACTTATATGGGTCAGTTACAGGAAGGGAGCTGGAAGAGGGGTTGGAAAAGCAGGTGCCTGGAACACAATGGACACAGAGGAATGAGGTGATATGAATGGGATGCAGATAGGAAATGAAAAGAAATTACAGCAGGGCACCACAACAGCACTCTTGGAATTACACTGAGAAATTCACTAACTCAGAATTTTTGTATCCAGCACAAAGGTATTCCACACTAGACTTCATTATTTTGAAAAAAGTTTAAATTTAAGTCTATTCATAAGTGAATATGGCAATTATATTTACATGTAAATAAAATGATAGCCCAAATAATAATGCATATATCTGGCACTTGAAAAGGGATCAGTTTAACAAAACCAAAAAAAGCCAAGAGAAATCTGTCAGAAATTATTTAAACTGACAACTGTGAAGGATAATTGGGAACTGGTTAAGAATATTTTGTTACAATTTTAAAAAGCAACAATCCCATAGTAAAAATAAGAGACCAGTTTTGAGTGACAGTGAACACAGAAGTTAGAATTAACATAAAAAATAAGGAAAAGTATACCAGTAGGTAATTAAAACCAGACAATTGCTTTTAAAGACAGTCAAATTGCAAATGACATTGTAGGCAAGGCAGACGTGTTAAACAAATATTGCTATTCCTTATTCAGTGATACAATCATACCATATGATAACTATGAAATATTTTCCATTCCAACACCAGCTACTGAAAGTAAATATGTTTAAATTAGCAGGTCTGGACAATGACTGTTAGTGTTGATTTTGTAGAAGGCTTGAACTATGGATTAAGTCCCAGTTCAATGGAAGTGGTGCCAATGCCCAAAAAGGGAAGGAGAGCTATCCAAGTTACCACAGACCCCAGACAGACTTTGATTCCAGACAGAATAAAAGAGCAGCTAATATGAGACTCAATTAAAAGTGGAATAATACAATCAGTGCCAAACACCACAACTATATCAGCAGCAAATCTATTTTTTCAAACTATTTCAAACTATTGCAATATCTTTTTTGACAAAATTACAAATTTGACTGATAAAAGTACTGCTTTTGACACACACCATTTGGTAATTTGACTTGATTCTAAATGCTTTACTAGTTTTCTAATGAAAATACCAAAGTAATAGAGCTCATGTTAAATATATTAGAAATAGACTATCTCTAAATGGAACAGAAACAGAAATTATTTGCAATAATGTGTTACTAGCTCAAGCAGGGACAAACCTGGGTATTTTGTTAGCCTGAGAGAAAACTAAAAACAACACATTACTGATAGAGACTGTAAAGGATACAAAGTTTAGGGCAGGGTGGCAATATGCAAAAACGTGTATCTCAACAGGCACAAAGCTAAAGCAGCATATTTAGGTGCAGAAAGGAAGGTTGGACTTACAGGATGAGGATTCTCAGAAAGCAGTAACTGCAGCTGAACAAAGCCTGGCCTTTTAAAGCAGTGTCTGAAAGTTCTAATGGGATCATTTGTTGTAGAAACAAGGGAACACAGAGCAGAAAGTCCAGATTACTCTGATGTTTATCAAAAGCATAACTACTACTGGAATATTTTGTGGGGTTTGAGATTCATAACCCTACAGTGATTCTGAAATAGTGGAGAAAGCTAAGAGAAATGCCAAGAGAAAGATTAGAGGTTTGGAAAATATGCTAATAGTGCCTCAAGGTGCTTGAACTGTTTACTTAACCAGAGATGGTAAAAAGGAATGTGAGCAGCTACAAAAGACCAGAATTTTGATTGATGTGCTCTTTGCTCTTAAATCTAGAAGACAAAAGATGTAAGTTTTCCAAGGGCTGGAAATCAGATACTGAAGAAATTTCCACTAACATAGAATGTCCATTTTTAGCAGTGAAGGTAAATAATTACTGAGACAACCTATGGAAGGCAGTACAAATGTTTTCAAACCAACAGCGAATTCCTTTCTAAAAGGAATGCTGCTGTAGTCCAACTGTAGTAATGAAACTTGAGACAGGTGCTTGTTTAGGGGGCCACTGGTTTGTGTCTTTTCAACCAGTCACAAGAGTCACCTCTGGCCTTGAAAAATCAGGAATTAAACATGATAGGAAGGGGAAGAAGGCAGAGAAGTGGCCAAGTTGCCTCCAAGTAGGCCAAGTGATTGGAGAGGAGAAGGGTCTTACCTGCTACATTTTGAACAGAGAAGAGAGAAGGAAGGAGGGAAATAGAGAGGCCAAGTGACTGCCCTTTTCAGGGGGTGAGTGACCAAGGCACACCACAGCAGCTGTTCTGCAGCAGCAAGGATGGAGGCTCATGTCTGAGATGCCACAGAAAGAGCTGGCTGGACAGACAGAGCTGCCTGGACAAGAAAAAGAAGACAGGAAAGGAAAAAAAAGGAAGGTGCAAGTATGAGTGACATGGCAAATGGGAATGTTGAGAATGGTGAAGCAAGGAAGCCAAGGAGCTCTGGCATTTCCCAGCTGAATTACAAATTGTGAAGGGAAAGAGGGAGGTTGCAAAAGTACAAACCAAGTGATGCTGAGAATAGGTACAAGAGATAAGATGGTGAAAACACTGAGAAGATATTCTAAAAGTGCAAATGCTATTAAGGGATGTAATGTGTCCTTCCTCCCAGGACACTGGCAGCTCAAATATGTTTAACTAGAAAGAAAATAATAGAAAATACAGACCCAGGGCCAGAGGCCAAGGAGGACAAGAAGGAGAGAGAAACTCTATCCAAGTAACAGAAATCAGCACAGAAGACAAACATAGCTCAGTGCATCTCACCAGCACTACCACCAGGAGAGAAGAAGGGATGTGCAACAGCACATCAAGCTCAGGATCACATCCCATCAGACCACCAAACTCCACTCCCCAAACCAACACAACCACCAGAAACTGCTCCTACTCCCTGACCTACTCAAAGGCCATGCCTGCAAACAAAGCCCCAGAGCCTCAGGAAAAGATTGCTCAGCCCACATGGCATTGCAGAGGATATGATGTATCTCATTCTTCTCTGTGGCTACACATTGCCTAGTTACAGCCACCACAGGGCATTTATCTCCATGTTGACCCCTCTGACAAATTTTATGTATCTGACACAAAGCACATGCCTTGAAGAGTCTCATGGAACAACCAGAGCTTCCTATCACCTTGGGGTATCGGCAGAGAGGTTGAAAAAATTCAAGCATCTGTTCAAGAATATTGTGCACCAAGGAGAGGGCACAGCAGGGACAACCAAAGATCCAACAAGTTTTTACAATTATGTGGACATCTCTGCTGAATTCAGTATGCTCACTTCACAGAGCATTTTTGTCTCTTGCCCTTGTCTCTGCAATGGTTTGATGTGGAGAGAAACCTACCAGTGAGGTGGATGAGGCTTTGCTCATCTGGGCCAACACTCTGGCTTCTCCAAAAGCTGTAGCAAGAATCCACAGGACAGGAAAGAGCAGTGGAAGGATGGGCAAGACACCATTCACCTGAAAAGAACACCAACAAGCACAGGGACAACAAGTCAGAACCTCTCACATGACATCTTTTCCACCACAGTGAGAGGATAAGGATAAAAGGCCAGAACAAGAAGGGGACTGGAAGCAGTGCCAAACACTGCACACATTATGGGGGTTTAATGAAGGAGGCCATGAATCAATCACACCAACCTGCAGCTGTTTTTCCTGCTGAATTTGGAGGAAACTCCAAGGTGTTTAAACACAAAGCATACCATATAGATAAATAGATATAGATAAACACATACATGGCAAATGAGAGAGCAAAACATTGAAAGGTAATTCTGTGAGGAACAGCCAGGGAAGATCTGGTGTCCTCCTCCACTGAATGTTCCTGGATCTAGCATGCTTCCAGATTCAGGTAGCACAGGAGGCTGTCATAGGGTGAATAAAGTCACTGAGGGAGGGAATCCATCTTGGTGGTACTCTGGGGAGGAGGTGTAGTGAAGCTCAGAGCTCTCCTTTACCTGCAGCTGAAGAAGAGTGTACTGCCAGGAAGCAATTCCAGGAGCTTGGAAAATGAAACGCACGGCGTTGGTGATCAGGAATCCAGCCTGCAATTCAGAGATGACACTGTCACCTAACTACTGGCACTTGCAGGGAAGGTGTTTCCCGTGCCTTGTAACATTCTCAGCCCTGGGGGAAGTATGAAAAATAAATTTTTGATCTGCTGCTGCTGCAGTTCCTCCCTCCACTCTCATGGTTATGTGGCTCAGCATCTCTGAAGTTACACACAGAGTTAGCTGCATGAGTAAGCATGGCCACAACTTCCAGTTGATGGCTGCAAATTCTTCAGATTTATTGACAAAACATGGCTATTGTCAAGGATGACAAAGGCTTGGAATGAGACCTACCAGCACAATAGGGACAGCGTATTTCAGCATCACTGACTGTACAGTGAACCTCTCATTATCCAGGGCTGTCACAGGCCGTGACAGAGCCATTTCCAGGCACCACCTAAAAAACAGAAAACAGCTTGAAGTTTCAGCAACCAAGACCCTAACCCTTCAGTTTCCTTGGATATAAATCTCCTGCAGCAGACCTGATTAGAACACTGTGCTCAGCCTATGCTATGAAGAAGGGCTGTCAAAAGAGAAGCCAACATCTACAATAAGAGTGCAGCACTTGCCAGGGTAAATTTGCAGTGTTGCCAAGCAAACTGCTCAGGTCTCCTCACCTGCTTAGCAGGAAGACAGCAACAAGGACACAGACAGCTGGTTAGGCACTCTGCCCTGCCCTTAACCCACCTGACATTATCAATTATTGGGGTCTTCAACACACGGAAGAGACGATAGAGCTGAGGATTCTGAGGGCCCTTCTTCACTTCTCCCCTTGGGGAGGGCGGGGGTGAGAAGGGTGGAAACAGATCTCCAGGCTCCAGAACTATGTGCTCATCATCCTAGAAGAAAGGTTAGAGAGCCCAAGGGCAGATGTTAAAGCACATCCGGTTATTTCATGAAAACTGGCATTTGGAGTGAAAGTTACAATTAAAACCACCAAAGGTAAATTTCAAGCTTTAAACTTTTTCCAGCCTTCTTCAAGCAGTAAAATTTTTGCAGAGAACTTGTGAGTAGCTAATTTACTTCTACACCAGGTATTTTATATTACCTTATTTTATAATAAATCAGTAGTAAAGAGAAGGTCAAAGCAGACAAACTTTATTTCTGCACATAAAAAGCAGGATAAAGGACGAGGTTTGTATGTCATGTTATCCTACTGGATAGATTCACTCCACTTATATTTAGCAGCACATTACATTTTCTGCTTGACCTGAGAGAGAAGGAAATATAGTGATTTCATATAACATTAGTACCTAGTGGGTTTGGGAGTTCTTGGAGAAGATGCAGCTTGGCTAACTATGCACCATCCTTGACTGAACTGGAATTTTAAGCTGTTTTCAAGGTCAGAAGAAACCAAACACTCCAATTTCATGTACTCTGGGAATCAGTATTAGCAAGAAAAACCTGGGAAATATACTGTTACAGGCCAGGGAAATTAAACAAGCAAGTTACCTTAATCCCTCTCAGAGAAGCAAATGACTCCTGGCCTGGCCTCAAAGCAACAACATCTCCTTCTACCAAGAGGCTCACAGGCAGATTGACAAGATGCCCATCCCTGTAGGCCCAGTGAAGGGACCAGGATGGGGCATAAGGCATGTGAAGGTCAGGGTACATGGAGTCTGGCCATTTCACCTCTTTGCCAAGTGTATCTGAAAGCACAAAGTGCGAAAGAATGAAGTGGTAGCAATTCTGGATTTACATCCTGTAGTGATTATAAGACCTCCAATGTTAAGCTCAGCCCATTCCCAAGATGTTTTACCATCGCTCTCTTCCTCCTTGATGGCTTTTCCCTTCTCTCTCCACCTAGTATTAACAACCAAGCAGTAATTTAAAAACCTGTACAACAGAAAATCTAAAAGCTGCCCTTAAAACTGCCCCCTAAGGTCCCAAAGCCCCCATTGAGACGATGCTCATGCACAGCAATTTATTTCCTTCTGCTCCATGTTGTGGTACAACCCCATGTGTTCTCCCCTCATCATCTGCTGCAAGGCAGATATTTTTTATAAGGATATGAGGATCTGAATTACTCCAAAGCACAGCCATAACAGACGCCCACCTGGTAACACACAGCTTAGAAGCACATGGCCACATGACAACTCAAAATAACTTTAAATATTTTTACAGGACAGGCATGAGGAGAACACACTTCCCACAGCCTGTTTCTGTGCAACACAGAGGAAGGTTAGCAAGCTTTATTAGGAATTCATGTGATCAGGTTTGGGGAAAGATTCAATGGGAGGAAAACACAAGTGCAAATGGGACAGATGAAGGAGATCTCACCGTTTATCTTATCAACAATGGTCTGAAGCCTCCTCTCCACCTCTCTGCACTTCAGCCTCTCTTGACGCCCAATCATGAGGAGATCCAAGAGGAGCAGGAGGAAGAGTGCCAGTGCATTGACTATCTCAGCACCTTGGCTTCACACAGAAAACAGGAGGAAGCAGAATGCAGATGACATTTGAGTAAACGAGCAGAACACACTGCCAGACGCCCACTGAGATAAACACACAACTGCCTGGTTGTTTATTTCCACATCTCACAGGTTTATGGCTCAAAAAGAAATGCATGGTTACACTTCTTCTTTAGGATAATGGCACCAGAGAGGTCTGAAAGGACCCATCTCAATTAAAAATACTTTACAAATATGGTCAAGGCATGTATAGCACACTAACTTCTCCCATGAACCACTAATTTCTCCAGTTTCAAAAAACTTCCTAACTATGATAATGCCTTAGGAGTTTTAAAGATCTAGGAATGCTGTAGGAAAAAAACTCCTCAGTCTCTCCATAGGACACTCTCTAGGTCTATTAGTAGTAGAATTAAGTTGGCTGAAGTTCTGTGAAAGGGATCAATAGCAAATTACCAGTGTGAGTATGCTGATATTTAGATATCTAGACAGAATGAGGGACAACACTTATGTCAATCACACACAGTACTAAGATGATATAAAAACATCACCTTGCTTCAGTTAAGTAGCTCAGGAAGCTTTGCTCACCTCCCCTGTGGCTGGCTCCCATAGCAGCATAGCAGCAACAGCACTGCCAGCAGCATCAGAGACGCACCAGGCCAGTGGAAGCAGGAGCAGCGGTTACCATGGTACAGGAAACTGCTCCTCCACACCTCCTGCAAAGGGAGAGCAGCAGACAGTCAGCACTCATGGAACAGAGAGCCAGACATTTGGAAATGCAGACTGAGAAAGGGTGAAGACAGCAGCTGGTGCTCCAGGGAGAAGAGAACTTTGCAAAACCCCTGAACATGACACAGAGCATCCCAGATCCATTGTGTGAATCCTTCAGCAACAATGGATATTCAGCTGGTGAGTCTAGGTGAACACTCTGCTTTTCTCTTGACTGGAAGAATGAAAAGGCTCCTGTGCTAGGTTGTCCCATTGTCACTGACCAACCAAGGAACACTTTTAAGCACTGTATTTTGTATTCGACACACATGCCAGGCAAACACAGTGGACAAGGGGAGACTGTTGAGCTTCACAGCTCTTTTATCTCCACCTGAGATGGCCCCTCAGCTCACTGCCCTTAGTGGCTCTTGAAGTACAGAGACCTTTCACAGGGCAAGAGGCATCTTCCCACAGAGCTCTGGCATCCAGGACAGAAGTGCTGACAGAAACTCACCCTTAGGTAGATTTCTTGCTTTGTTTGCAAGGACTTCAGCAATTCTACACCTGGACACTCTTGGTGGGGAATCCAGCCAGTTTCTGTTTAGCCCTCATCTTTGCTTTGAGAAGGGGAGACCAATTGCCCAACCTGTGCTGCTTGGTGCCTCACCTTCCACGACGTCCCTTTTTTCCGTTCCTTCTGATGCCCCTCCAGCAGTGCTGACAATTGGTCTCTCAGGATCATGAGGGCTTTCTTTGTGGTAAGGCCCAAACTTGAGGTCATCTCATCCTGAGGTGCCAGAAAAATAAACTGGTTAGTGCTTCCCAATTTTCCTTTTAGGCTTTTTCCTGGTGGCTGACAGAGCATGTGACTGTGAATGCCCTGCACTCATCATCACCAGCCTGATTCTTCATTTTCCTGAAATCATCTTCCCTCCTGTGAACTTTAGACCGCTGGCTGGAATTAGAGCAATTAGATAGTATCAGGTAAACAAACCAGTCCTGACTGTGCTGATAAATACTTTATCAAAGCACAATAACCAAGTCATTTCTGTGAAACAAGATCTATTCAGTAGAGGCTGAGGACAATACAAACAGGGTTATGCAGGCTTGAACTGGTATCAGCTTGTAGAGACAGCAGAATACAGTTATGGTAAAAATTTAATTATACAGGATGAATTTTGCTAACAGTAAAAACTAAGTAGTAGAATATCTGCAATTCAAAACAACAGCAGTCCAACTTCCACAACTGCTTGCTACAGATTTTTGTTTAAATCCTGCCTCTGTGGCTACTTTGATGCAGAAGCTCTCAGATTTAAATGCGAGGCCGCGGATCAGTTCAGGACCACACGTGACCCCACCATCAACCTCTCCTTTTACAAGAGCAAACACTGGGGTTTTAAGTGCTGAACTGCAAGGGAGACACTTGAACTTACAGGAAGCACAGAGTTCACAGCACTCTTCCCTCAGTGCTCAGCAAACAGGCAGCAGTCCCAAAGGATACATTTTAGGAGTGTGCCATATGGAAAACACTGATGTAAGATGCTGGTAGCAACAAAGTGGGGTAAACACTTGCATTTCTGGGCCAGGAGCATGAGCAATTTCTTTCAAATCACAGATTGCAGTGAGTACTGTGGGCACCAGATCACTGACAGCAAATCAACAAGGATGAGCAGGCAGGTGTCCATGAGAGGGCTTCAGCAGGGAACTGCTAAATAAAAGTTCTCATGGGCATTTCATGTTTTAATACAAACACACTGAGCATGTACAGCACACAGGATATCCTGCATATTGGAAATATTCACGTGTGTCATACTGTGCCCAGAGTACAGAACTACTGAACACCAGCAGGCAGGAAGTTTGTCCCTCCTGTCCCCACCAGTGTGACACAGCCCAGAGCTCAGACAGGAGCTGCAGCTCTTCCTGCTCTTGTAGCTCTTTCCAGCCCTGCCAAACCCACCATTTGGCCTCAAACTGCAGCAGTTCTGCTCCTCAGGAGCCGCTTGCACACACCCAGCTCTGCAAGTGCAGCTTGGCTCTGATGTGTTCTTCCTGTTCCTTAACTGCATAGTTTCATGATGAACATTTACTGGAAACTAATCTTGGACTTCAGACTCACTTGCATTGATGGTCCAATCCAAAACTGTAATGCAGTGTTGAGGAATAGAACATAAATTCTCTTTCAAATACCATCTACCATACACACACACACCCTCCCCATCTATCAGGGACAACCTGAAACAGCAAATTCTGTCCAGGCAGAGTCCAGCAGTGCTGCTTTAGCTGCACTTTTACACAACTAAAAATAATCCTGCTGCAGTTTTCATTCTCTGTGTCAGTTTTAGGAATAGAGGAAGCAGTTCTGTGTTGTTCTTGGAAGCAGCCCAGGTAACATCAGCACAGGACTAAACATAGGAGTGTCTCAAAGACTCCCAGATGGCAGTGGAGCTGGCACCAGCCGTGCTGCTGCACCACAGAGTGCTGCAAACAGGAGTGTCTGAGAACAACACCAAGCAAGGGACAATCAGGCTTCTCTCCTTTGTCTGACTGCTGCCTGTCTGGGGCAGAGCAACGCACCCACAGAAATATAAATCCTCTCCAACATGGGGAAAGCAGACAGATAAATAAAATGAAATTTTACAGAATGAAAGACAGCAAAAATAATAGAGACTTGAACTGAAAAGCAAAGCCTGCTTAGACACTGAGCTGGTTCCAATGGACACATCAGGAGCTACAGAAGAAATGAGAGGAAAGCTGCACTTGATGCCAACATCTACTACAGTAACAGTGCCTGGAAGAGAAACTGCCACAGCACAGCAGGCAGTGAGCACAAAATCCAGAGGCAATTGAAAACAATTCCTAAAACACTTGCACACCTGCTCCAGACTTTACACAGGAGTTACCAGTTTGGCACAGTGTCAGTCAAGATAAGGGCAGCCACAAAGGAACGTGGCTGTAGCAGGTGACAAAGGACAAGTGCAGTGTGGCAGGGCTGGAGAAGGTGAAGGGCAGGAAGGGCAGGGATTGTTAAACACCCATCCTGACACTTAGATCATGAAGTATTTGGGAAAGGAGGCAGAGGCAGTCTGGTAAACACTGTTAATACTGTGAGTGAGGGCTGCTGGGGGTGAGCATCAAGGGAAAGAGCCTGGGACCCAAATGAAAGGGACAGGCAAGAAGAGCCTCCCTGAGCTCCTGGCAAGGGGCAGCTCCAGGTTTTCCGCAACAAAAGCCACCCTGCTAAGTCATCAACTGCTAATGAGGCATTTTTCAAATGCCCTTAAGTAAACCTTTGGCAAACCCAGGCGCTCTGAAGCTGTCCCAGAGGGACCTTTCCAGCTTTTCATCAGCTGCAAGTACTCTTCCTGCCACAAACCAGGAACTGAGCACCCCAGGGTGAAGAAGCCATTCACAGGAGGTGTCAGTTCATTAATAAAAAACCTCAACATTCACATCTTTGCTTTGGAAAGTTACATTCAAAGAGAAAGCCGCTAATTTTCCGGTGCAAACAGAAACAGCAGGACACCTTCCCACCCAGCTGCCTTAGCACAGGGTTTCCTCTGACGAATAACAAAGAAAGAGAAGACAGTAAATTCCAGGTTACAGTGAAAGCAAACCCCAGATGGGTATCAGGAGGTGATTTAAAAGGCTGTACTTTCCTTTTGCCTGTGCCTAAAGGCAAAAAGTCCTAAGGACAAAATGAGCAGTTGCTTTCTCCTTTGCCCTGGAGAGCACAGGAGCCTCTAAGTGCACTTAGGGCTCCTCTGGAGCTGACCCTGGCAGTCCCAGCCTCAGTGTGAGAGGCACCGCTGGAGCCAGGTAAAAAGGAGATGATTGTATCCTTCTGCTTTGGGATGGTATCAGGGCTCTCAAGAGTTGGGATCTTTGGGATGGCTGTTAGGGGGAAAACTGTGCACGACATTTCCTTTGTGCATGTGATTTTATTTTCTAGAGGCAATGAATGTGCTGAGGTGTGGACTGGATGGGAACATGAAAAGATGTGTGAATTCCTCCACTCACAGTAAATGTTCTACATGTTAAATTACTACATAGCTTGCCTGAAAACATTAGGGAAAGGGAACTTGAGACAGATCCTGCAAATGCCCTGGGTTAGGAGCTGGTTTGGCTCTTCAGGAGGGAAACAAGCAGCTCAGAAGCTGTAGATGAGGAGTCACAGAATCTATAGACTATAGAATCTATAGACTTTGCCTTGTCCTTTCAGTTGACCCTCCATAGTTTGACAGGGGTAAATAAGCTGTCAAATACCCAGGAGCTTGTTCAAATCCATAGCCTTGCCTGGCTCATGGCAAATAGGTTCCCTTTGCCTTTCTCAGGGGTTGCAGGAGCATTTTCAGGCTGATAGGTAGGAAAAGTGTGGTTATTTTCTGATTTTTTCCTCCCACAACGTGAAGTTGTTCCCGAGCAACACCACCTACCCATGTCTGCTTCCTGCAGCCCACCTTCATCCTCACACAAACTCACCACTGAGCTCTCTTCCTAAAATTCACATCTTGTTTTTTCACACATTGAACTGTTTAAAATTACCTTAGAAGTTTATCAGCTATCTCACACTCTCTGCTACCTGATGAAAGACAGAGGTCTTGCAACTTCCTTCCAGAGGAAAAAAGAAGTAGAGCCCAGAATGTGTACAGGGAAATGGACATAAAATATTAGTATATTTTAAGTATATTATATTATTAAGTTGTCTTATTTTCTCATAGCCATTACACATTACACATCTCACAGCCATTACACATCCATAGTAGCATATTTATTTGTTGTACCAGTAAATGTTGATATAATATACACCAAATATTTTTTTAATGAAACAGGAACACAAATATATTCCATACTTTCCAGAGCAAAGTGAGTTGAATCATCCTCCATCCTCTGTGGATTCATTCTCTTGCAGAATAAGGGGTTCTCACCAAGACTGCTGTACACTTTGATTGTAACTGTCTTTATAAAGACTGTTTAAACAAATGAAGTGAACAGAATACAAAATATTTGCTACAAGTTTCAATTCTCACAGACTGCAAATCCACCCCTCTGATTCAGAGTGGTGGAAAAAACCCTGCAAGGCAGTTGTCAGACTGTTTCCCTCTTTCCAGGCTGTATTCACTAGGCTCCTTTTATAACACCTCTACTCAATTGCTCTTCAGATCTGAACAGTTGGAGGTGGGAAATTGGGCAGCAGAATGTTCTTCCTTTTCTTAAGAGCTATTTTGCATTCCTTAGCAGAAAAAGAAGGCAGTTTTTAATTTAACAATGACACTTTGCAGGCGATTAATCTACTTCAGGGATTACACCTCCTGAAATGTAAGCATTATTCACAGGTTCAAAAACACACAATAAGGAGTTACTCCACCAAATATATTTGCATTTATTACTGTAAGTCGGATTCTTGTTTAGGATAAGTCACAATATGGCATAAAGTGGGGGTTTTGGGTTTTTTGATCAGAGAGGATGACAGACATCAAATACATGACTGCACACAATTTATTGGGGTAGCATTTCATACAGCAGCCTAGTGCTAGAGAGGGATTTATTCTTGTTCTAAAGCAAATCACCCACCAGGATGCTACAGCTCCTGTACACCTGCAGCTGCTGATTTAGTGCTCAGACTGCCTGAAATGGCTCATCCCTGCTACAGAGTGACACAGATGGAACCAGCAGGGCCAATGTATCAGTCAGTCTGGGCAGAGACTTCCTTTTATTACCCCATCCTTGGTCCCAGTCTTGCTTTCTGCCTGCCTTGGTGCTCTCCTGGCTACCTTTCCTAAGAGATCA